GTTTCGGGCCTAGAAGGGTCTAGGCCCGAAACGTCAGCCTCTCTGCTCCTATGATGCTGCTTGGCCTGCTGTGTTCATCCAGCCCTGCACCTTGTTGTCTCGGATTCTCCAGCATCTGCAGTTCCTACTATCTCTGATTCGATTTTAACCCCACATGTAGGCCAGACCAGGTAAGGATGGCCTAGTGGTATTATCGCTGGACTGTTAATCCAGAGACCCAGATAATGTTCTGGGGACCTGGGTTTGAATCCTGCCACGGCTGATGGTGGAATTTGAATTCAATAAATATCTGGAATTAAGAACCTAATGATGATTGTGAATCCATTGCCGATTGTCAGAAAAACCCATCTGGTTCACCAATGTCCTTTAGGGAAGGAAACTGCCGTCCTTACCTGGTGTGGCCTACATGTGACTCCAGACTCACAGCAATGTGGTTGACTCTTAACTGCCCTCTGGGCAATTAGGGATGGGCAATAAATGCTGCCTAGCCAGTGACACCCTCATCCCATGAATGAATAAAAAAAAATTAGTGAACCAGATGGGTTTTTCCAACAATTGACAATGGATTCATGGTCATCATTTGACTCTCAACTCCACATATTTATTGAATTCAAATTCCACCATCTGCCATGACAGGATTTGAACCCAGGTCCCCAGAAAATTACGTGGATCTCTAGATTAACATTCCAGCCATAATACTGTCACCTCCACTGAACACCCTCTATGTGAACAAGTTGCCCCTCAGGTCCCTTTCAAATCTTTCTCCCCTTACCTTAAAAATCTGCCCCCTAGTGTTGAACTTCCCCACCTTGGGGAAACAACCGTTGCTATTTTATGCCCCTCATGATTTTATAAACCTCTACAAAGTCACTCCTCAACCTCCTATGCTCCAGTGAAAAAGCCCCAGCCTTTTTACAACTCAAACCCTCCATTCCTGGTGTCATCCTTGTAAATTTTTTCTGAACCCTCTCGAATTTAATAATGTCCTTCCTATAGCAGGGCAACCAGAACTGTGCACAATACTCCAAATGTGACCTCGCCAACATCCTGCACAATCTCAACATGACGTCCCAAATCCTACACTCTAAGCAATAAGGGCAAATGTGCCAAAAGCCTTCTTAACTGTCCTGTCTAGCTGTGAAGCTACTTTCAAACAACTATGTATCTGAACCCCTCGGTATCTCTGTTGAACTAATAAGTAACACTTTCACAACCTCAGGAAGTGAATAAAGCATTTCTTTCTTGGTGGTTCCTTGGAATAAAGAGAATACCAGCCATGGATTATCAGAGTGAGGAGAGAAGACAGAGAGAGTGAGAGAGTACAATGAAGAGAGGGGAAAGGAAAGAGAGCAGGGGTGTGGGCCTTGCTGTAAGTGACAGGGATGAAGTCTGTGAAAGGTAAAGAAAACAAAAAGGGGATTGTGGACACTGAATAAGGAGCAGGCCATATGGGACTGAGATGAGGAGGAATCTCTTCACCCAGAGGGTGGTGGATCTTTGGAATTCTCTACCCCAGAGACTTATGGAAATTCAGTCACTGAGTGTAGAGATTGGAGGATTCCTATGTCCTAGTGATGTCAGGGGAGATGGGATAGTGCAGGAAAATGGTGCTGAACTAGATGATAAGCCATGATCTAGAGCAATGTAGTAGGCTTGAGGGGCTGGAATGGTATACTTTTCCGTTGTTTCGCTGTTGCTAGTTAGTTTGTGTTTGAGATTTCATACTGGTTCAGTTTGACTGTGAGAGCTGGCCTGTTTGAAACGACACTGGTGCTGTTGGCTCTTGTTTCGTAGTTGAGGGTTTATTTCTGTCCTGTCTGTTGCTTTGTAGTCAGCTCTGGATCCCCAGGGTCTACCTGCTCTGAGTCTGAAGGTGCCGAGTTACAGCTCCACTCGGGAGACATCACTGCAATAATCTTGGCTAATGCTCCAGTGCAGTGCTGAGGGAGTGCTACATTATCACAGGTGCTCCTTTTCAATTGAAATGCACTATTAACTAGGCACAAAGGATCCAGTAGCGGTACACCAAACCAGGACAGGGAACACTCTCCGGGGTCAGCTGATCCAATACTTCCCATGCCAATTAGCACCACTATTTATTTTATAATACTTATAATTCTGGCCTTCCTGCTATAGGAAAGATGTTCTGAAATTTGAAAGGGTTCAGAAAAGATTTACAAGGATGTTGCCAGGGGTGGAGGGTTTGAGCTATAGGGAGAGGCTGATTAGGCTGGGGCTATTTTCCTGGAGCATCGGAGGCTGAGGGATGACCTTATAGAAGTTAATAAAATTGTGAGGGACATAGATAGAGTGAATAGCCAAGATCTTTTCCCCAGGGTAGCGCAGTCCAAAACTAGAACGAATAAGTTTAAGGTGAGAGGGGTAAGAATAAAAAGGGACGTATGGGGCAACTTTTTCACGCAGAGGGTGGTGTGTGTATGGAATGAGCTGCCAGAGGAAGTGTTGGGGGCTGGTACAATGACAACATTTAAAAGACATCTGGATGGGTACATGAATAGGAAGGGTTTAGAGGGATATGGGCCAAATGCTGGCAAATGAAACTAGATTAATTTAGGATGTCTGTTCAGCATGGACGAGTAGGACCGAAGGGTCTGTGTCCATGCTGTATATCTCTATGACTCTATAACATTTGAACAGGGTATTCCATTGTTCCTTAATCAGCTTTCCCTGTACCCAGGAGCCGTTAACTGAACTGTGATGAACTTTGTCTCAATTTTACTTTTGTTTTATTCATGACGTCTGTCATTGATGTTGGTACTGTGGTGGGGCGACGTATAAAACGTTTCACTGTATTTTTCATGGAATAGTACATGTGACAACAAATTGATATTCTATTCTGTACATTAGAGGAACTATACAAATAGAGAAAAACATAGAAACTAGGAGCAGGAGGAGGCCCTTCAGCCCCTCGAGCCTGCTCCACCATTCATTACGGTCATGGCTGATCCTCTATGTCAGTGCCATATTCCTGCTTTCTCCCCATTCCCCTTAATGCTTTTAAAATCTAAAAAGTTATCTCTCTTTCTTGAATGCATGCAGTGATTTGGCCTCCACAATCTGCTCTGGTAGAGAATTCCATGGGTTCACTTTCCTTTGAGTGAAGAAATACTTCCTCACTCAGTCCTAAATGGTCTATTATGAGACTGTGTCCCATGGTTCTAGACTCCGTACCCAGGGGAAGGCATCCTCCCAGCATCTAGTCTGTCCAGCCCTGTTGGAATTTTATGTTTCAATCACAATCCTGTCTCATCCTTTGAAACTCTAATTAATAGTTGGGAATACTGTGGCCCAGTGGAGTTCTAACTCCACTTATTAATCCAGAGACACCAAGGAATGTTCTGGGTCCCCAGGTTCAAATCCTGCCATGGTACATGGTGGAATTTGAATTTGGGAAAATATCTGGAATATAATCAGTCCAATGACAGTGAAATGTTGCTGATTGTTATGTTACAGAGCTAGAACTCAGTCCAGTACAGTATAGTCCAGGGCAAGTTGTGAATTTGAACTCTGTTTCAAAATCTTGAAAATCAAACAGCTAGCCTCCAGGGGACGTGATGGCTTAGGGCTATTGTTACTATAGACATGGGCCCAAATTGATATTAGACGGTGGAATTTGAATTTAATAAAAATCTGGAATTAATGACATAAAACCATTGCCAGGGGTAAAACCGATCTGGTTCACTCATGTCCTTTAGGGAAGGAAACTGCCATCCTTACCTGGTCTGCCTTACATGTGACTCCACACCCACAGCAATGTGGTTAGTTGTCAACTGCCCTATGGGCCAATTAGGAGTGGGCAATAAATGCTGGCCTAACCAGTGATCCTGTGATTGGTTCAACTTTGTTTTTATTCAATCTTCCCTCATGTAAGCCCAGTGAACGTCCCTCGATTGCATGTATATCCTGTCTTATGTAACGGGACCAAAATTGTATGCACTATTCCAGGCATGGTATATATAAATATATATTGCAGTAACTCAATCAGGCTGCTCTGATAGCACCTTCCAAACCCATGGTTTGCACCTCCCAGAAGGGCAAGAGCAGCAGATACATGGGAACACCACCACCTGCAAGTTCCCCTCCAACCCACTCACCATCCTCACCTGGAAATATATTGCCGTTCCTTCATGGTCACTGGGTCAAAATCCTGGAATTCCATTCCTAAGGCACTGTAAGTATCCCAGGACTGCAGCAGTTCAAGAAGACAGCTCACCACCTTGTCAAGGGTGTCTAAGGACAGGTAATAAATGCTGGTTAAGCAATGCCCACATCCATTGAATAAACTAAAACGTCACACTTGAACAGCTCAATACAATATCAGTCTGTGAATTACAATTACAGGGAGGTGAAGACATTGGATGTAAGAACCAAAGTGATATGTGAAATGAGCTAATACGGATTTGGATCCATGTCTACAGGGTGGTATGTATAAATACATGGTGACTCAGTGGTTAGCACTGCTGCCTCACAGCACCAGGGACCCAGGTTCAATCCCAGCCTCGGGCAACTGTCTGTGTGGAGTTTGCACGTTCTCCCCGTGTCTGCATGGTTTCCTTCCACAGTCCAAAGATGTGCAGGGTAGGTGGATTGCCATGCTAAATTGCCTATAGTGATTGCCCAGGGATGTTTCGGTTAGGTGGGTTTGGGCCGAATGGCCTGTTTTCATACTGTAGGACTCTATGAATGCTGGATCAAGGAGTATAGCTGATGTGGAGTGTGAATGGACTGATTAGGCTCAGAGAGTCATAGAGACCTATAGCACAGAAGAAGGCTTTTGGCCCATCTTATCTGTGCTGGTCAAAAATGTGTTACAGTTCATTCAGAATCAACGCATTCTTACACAGGGGTATGGATAGTGATGGTGCTGCTCTATTCAACATCAGGTTAAAAAGAACATCAACGTCATCTCGCAACAGGAAGGGAACAAGGCAGCACAACTTTACATTTAAAGGGTTGGATGTTAAGTTACTCTTGGTCTTTTGTAGTCTTTCAATGGAGCACTATGATGTAGTTTTGCTGCGGTTTATGGGACGTAAGACAGGCTTGAATTGAATTTAATTGAGCTAGGCCCCTTTAAGATGTTTGCTGCTCTTGTTGACAGTCAAACAGATCCCTGGGGGGGGGGGAGAGATAAATGCTGCCTTTAACCAAGAGACAAAGGTGCAGGCAGAGAAATCCCACGGAAAACGAATGTTGAATACGGGCAGTTGAGAAACCCATTAAGATACAACAATAATTCCGGATCATGGGGATCCAGAATCATTTGCAAGGATGGATAGATTTCCAGGTATAAATCTTTTGCATGATAGAAGGTGTTTTTTGAAGCTTTCTACTTCATTTTTCAGGCAGCTGCATGTTTGTTCCTCAGATGAAATGCCGTGTTAGGATTCCAGTTGATACAATTCAATATAACGCAGGAACAGGCTGCTAGACCTACCAGGCCTGCACCAATTCCTGGTCCTTACTTAGATACTTGGGGCTATTTTTGACACATCTTTCTAAATTTGATTGTGGAGATTGTAATTATTTTGTCTTTTTCACCCTTAGGTCAAATTAATTGCCTTCCAGTTTCTGGAGCAGTGTATGAATATAATTTAAATGTCTGGGTTGTGCTTCTTTGAAATGATTTCATTTCATTTAATAAATAATATGTATTTTATGTTTTGTTTTATTGATTGAGGGTCCTCAGATTGGAGTCTTATGCTTTGGGCTGTGAGCAGAGATGATACAAGTTGTCAACATTGAGGAGACTGGCTCAGGAGAACTGATCCAATAGGGAGAAGGCCCTAGAACCAGACGACATTGTTTTAGAGGTGATTGGCAAAATAAAAAAATCAAAGGCATGACGAGGAGTGAATGGCCAGTATCTGGAATGCACCCAATGTGTCCTGGGGACAGGTTTGCTCCCAGATTCCAAAAGGAATTGGATAATTATTTGAAGGGAAACCTTTGCAGGCTATGAGGAAGATGCAGGGGGTGAGCTAAATTGCTTTCACAAAGAGCTGGCATGGTTTGGATGGATCGAATGGCCTCCTTCTCTGCTGTGACCATTCTACAATTCCAGGATCTCTGCCTGATGTATTTTTCCCAGGCCCAGGTGCATTAGAAGGGGTTCAGCATTTGTGCCACTGCCCTGGTCTTTGAGATTGGTGGGAAAGCACACTGGGCAACTCACCAGCGATGCCAGTTGCTGGGATTTCTCTGCTTGGCATTCCTTGTCTGCAGACTGGTTTAAGATTGCATTTCCCCATCTCCACAATCTAAATGACCTTAGAACAGTACAGCACAGGAACAGGCCCTTCGGCCCATGATTCTTGTGCCGACCATGATGCCATTCTAAATTAATCCCACCTGCCTGCTCATGGTCCATATCCTTCTATTCCCAGCCTGTTCATGTGTCTGTCTAAATGCCTCTTAAACATTACTATAGTATCGGCTTCTACCATCTCCCCTAGCAGCGTGTTCTGGGTACCCACTACCCCCTCTATGTAAAAAAAACTTGCCTCGCACATCTTCTTTAAGCTATCCCCCTCTCACCTTAAACCTGTGCCCCTAGTATTTGACATTTCCACCCTGGGAGAAAGACTCTGACTATCCACCCTATCCCTGCCTCTCATCATTTTATGCGCTTGTATCAGGTCACCCCTCAGCCTCTGACGCTCTAGCAAAAAAAAGCCAAGTTTGAATGACTTTTAGGACTTTAAAAATGGCAAAGCTAGGACATGGGAGTCTAGTGCAAGGTTGCACAAACTGTAGACCATTCAGGAGATAAGTTAGGAAACATGTCTTCCCGGTGGAGTTGTGGAATTTTCACTCACGGCAAGAAAGCCCTCAGCTAATAAATTTGAAATCTGATGGATAAGAGTTTTGCTGGACAACTTTGCTTGAGACAGGAAGAAAAGGAACAGCCATAGCCTTTGTGAATAACAGAGCAGGCATGAGAGGCTAAATGGTCCATTCTTGTTCTGACGTTCCTGGTGATGCCTGTGGTAGTTGAATCCCGAGTCCCAGAGCTAAGGACACGGATTGAAATCCCATAAATGAGATTCATGAAATCTGGAACTGAAAGCTCGCCTCAGTGATGGCAGATACAAAAAAACTGTTATCAATTGTCGTAAAAACCCAACTGCTCAGTAAGGGAATGGAATCTGCCATCCTTTCCTGGTCTGGCTTACATGTGACTCCAGACCCACAGAAAATGGTTGACTATTAAATTCCCTCTGAAATGGCCCTAGCAAACCACCCAGTTCAAGGACAATTAGAGATGGATTAACAAATTCTGACACCTTACCACCATCCTGTGAAATAGTGAAGAAACATAAATAGATTGGAAATGTCAAGTTCAGATCTTGCCTCCAATGGTTCTTCTCATTAGTGACGCCTCGCTGCCCAGGGTTCAGTTCGGAAGCTGTTGTTTCGAAGTCTAAAGGCGTTTCATAAATAGACAACATCATCAAACGAGGTAATGTATGGTATCCTCTCCAAGATATGTCATCTCCAAAATAAAACAAAGAACTTTGGGTGCTGGAGATCTGAAACAAAAACAGAAAATGCTGAAGAAACTCAGCAGGTCTGGCAGCATCTGTGGTGAGATAAACAGAGTTAACGTTTCAAGTCTAGTTCTGAACGAGTGTCACTGGACTCGAAACATTAACTCTGCTTTCTCTCCACAGATGCTGCCAGACCTGCTGAGTTTCTCCAGCAATTTCTCTGCGCTTGTCACATTATCTCTAAGCTGGTTTTCCTGATTGACTTGGTATCTCACAAGTTCACATTTGTACTGTAGTTAAACGGTTGCATGTTCCTTAGCTTTCCAACTTACACCTATCAGGATAAAGGCAAGAATACCAGATTTTACGCAATCACAACAATCTTTGCATCTGTCCCGATGAGTTTGGCAAGATTAAATGTCCTAACAAGAGGGTCGTGTTTATAATTCTGGTAAATGACAGATTTGGAGAGATTACTTTAATACGTATACTATTGAGACTTCGCTTGGGTAATTAGTGACCCTGATTGTATCGACTTCAGAAAAAAGCTCCCCATTCTTCTGCTTATTTTATCAACTGTTTTCTGCAGCAATCAATTGGTTGCATGCCCTGAGTCCTTACATGGTACACATTATGCTAGATAAGCTGTACAACAGGCCATTTGTTATTGGAACAGAGATTACATAGAATTTACAGCAGCAACAGCCTACTGTGTGCTATTTAGCCACTCTGTTTCCAGCATTATAGCAGCGATCACACTCCAAAACTACTTCATTGGCTGGAGGGTACTTTGGGACATACCCAGTATGTGAAAGGTGCTACTTAAATGGAGGGGGAGGGGATATTGGAGGTGTAGTGGTCAGTGAAGAAGGTTACCTCAGAGTACAACAGGATATTGATCAGATGGGCCAATGGGCTGAGGAGTGGCAAATGGAGTTTAATTTAGATGAATGTGAAGTGCTGCATTTTAGAAAGGCAAATCAGGGCAGGACTTATACACTGAATGGTAAGGTCCTGGGGTGTGTTGCTGAACAAAGACACCTTGGAGTGCAGATTCATAGTTCCTTGAAAGTAGAGTTGCAGGTAGACAGGATAGTGAAGAAGGCGTTTGGTACGCTTGCCTTTATTGGCCAGTGCATCGAGTATAAGAGTTGGGAAGTCATGTTGCGGCTGTACAGGACATTGGTTAGGCCACTTTTGGAATACTCCATGCAATTCTGGTCTCCCTGCTATAGGAAGGATGTTGGGAAACTTGAAAGGTTCAGGAAAGATTTACAAGCATATTACCAGGTTTGGAGACTTAGTTCTAGGGGAAGAGACTGAATAGGCTGGGGCTATTTTCCCTGGAGCGTTGGAGGCTTGAGGGGTGACCTTATAGAGTTTTGTAAAAACATGAGGGGTAAGGATAGGGTTAATAGTCAAGGTCTTTTCCCTGGGGTGGGGGTGTCTAAAACTAGAGGGCATAGGTTTAAGCTGAGAGGGGAAAGATTTAAAAGGGACCTAAGGCGTTATCTTTTCACACAGAAGGTGGTGCGAGTATGGAATGAGCTGCCAGAGGAAGTGGTGGAGGCTGGTACAATTACAATATTTAAATGACATCTGGATGGGTATATGAATAGGAAGGGTTTAGAGGGATATGGGCCAAATGCTGGCAAATGGGACTAGATTAATTTAGGATATCTGGTCAGCATGGACAAGTTGGACTGAAGGGTCTGTGTCTGTTCTGTACAACTCTATGACCCCTATGATTGAAAGAGTCTGCCAAGGGGTTATGTGTGTGGGCAAGAAGAATGTATAAACATTATTTTTAAATGACACGAAACTATTAAATGTTGGTGTTCAAGAGAATTTGGGCACCCGTATCAGAGAAACTCAGATGCTCAACACATAGATCCAACAAGCAATTGGGAAAGTTTTTGAGTTTAGTTTAAT